TTCTATCTCGTGCTAACTTACTGAAAGATAGCCTATAACGTAATTGGACGTAGAAGGCTTGTCAGTGATAAAACTGATTAACGTATAGTGATACAAAGGCAACGTACCACTCTTTTGTTTCATTGACCGATCTCCGGGACCATGAGTAATCTTTTGACGCCATTAGGTAGCATTTAATTTCCGTAACAGCTTATCGGAAACTCAACTATTTACATTACAAATTAACAGACTCTTGTCCATGGGCGTGCGAGAATACACTGTCCTTTGTTTAAGATTCAGCGACTTATATAAAGGTTTCCTTCAACTGTTATCAGCAGGGTTGAGTGACAGAGGAATACAAATGAGTGGAGAATTTGCATGCTGCTATTTAGCTGAAATAAGACAAAGGATACAATTTGCGTTGATAAGATTTTAATCAATTATGCAAAGTGGAGCTACCAATGAAATTGACCAATAAATGATGACTTGAAGCTTACTTATTTCTTCGAAAATAGACTATAAGCCCAGAAAGGGTTAAAAAGAGTCAGACAGAGTTCATCCTATTCTCAGCTAGGGTAGGTTTTTGCTGCAGCACTATTCCTGATACACAATGATGATCTTCTTTTCTGTACTATAAATTGAATACACAACATTGCGGATCACATCACTTCACATGAAGGTATTTGAAGTGCTAAGTCGATCTCTGTGGTTGGGTTGTATTGACAGTGACTTCCTGTTTGACCAAAGGTTATCTCTGATCAGGAATGCAACAATTTGGCGCAGTTTGTAACAGGTTGGCCGTTATTGAATTAGTCAATGCTACGTAATTAGCTAACTTAGTAAAATACATTAATCAATTAGCTAAGATGGTCACGATGAAATACGTTAATTACGATCTCAGTCAGTATTATCACCAACACAGAACTGAATTTGTGTGGATATTCAGACAATACGTTCATGTTATTAAGATTTTAGTGTGCTTAGAGCTGAGCAACGAGAACTACAAATAAAACCGAATATCAATTTATCAGGTGCTTGAGAGAAATGTAAGGTAACTTGCCTATTCACCAGCTTTTGCTGATAAGGCTTCCTGAGATCGGCGGGCATTAAGGTATTTGTATTTTATTTTTAACCAAAGCGGCACAATAGTCTATATGGCAAGTCATATATAGTATAAATTATTAGGTAAAACATAAAAAAAAAACAGCAAACATTACAACAGATAAAATGTATACTTACAAACACACCTACCCTTGCTAAAGCACCAAGAATCCGGCATTCAAATATTCGTGTGTCACTTTACTCGGTTGGTTTTACATACTAGTTATACGAGGGATGTCCTTTAAGTTTTGCATATAGAAATAAAACAACACGGTAGGTAGTTTTAAATGACTTTATTGTTTTTCGAAGTATTCTCCTCGAAGATTAATACACATCTGCATGCGCTTGAATCAATTTTCGAAGCACGTATTCCACTCGTTTGCTGGCAGATCCAAAACGGCATTTTTGAATGTGTCAACTGCTTCTTCTGGTGACTGGAACCTTTGACCGCGCAGTCTGTTTTTAATTTTCGGGAAAGTAAAGAAATCGTTAGGACTTAGACCGGGACTATATGGAGGATGGTCCAATAATTCCACGTTTTCTTCCGTTAAATACTGCCTTGATTTTTGGCTGTGTGTGAGCTTGCATTATCTTGGTGGATGATGATTTTTCTTTCGGGGTTGATTTTTCGAAGCTGGGTGGTGAATTTTGGCAGACAAATGGTGGTATACTAATCCGCAGCAACAGTTATTTTCTCATTAAGAGGAATTGTTGCAATATGACCCGCTTTTAACACAAATGTCGCGACCATCTTTTTCGAAACACTTCGAGAACGGATGACTTTTGTTGGCTTTTCTTCACCTTGGAACACCCATACAGCCGACTGTCGTTTATTTTCTGGTTCATAATAGTTAATCCACGATTCAACAATGCTCTACACATTTTTTGAGTTTCCGGAATTGAAACGGTCAAGCGTTTTTTGACACCAATTAACCCTGGCTGCGTTCTGCTCTTCAGTCAACAGGTGGGATATCCAACGAGAAACTAATTTTCTTACTCCTAATTCTTCATGTAAAGTTTTTTAAATTGAGCTCTTTGAGATCTTCAAGGACGCCTCAATCTCGCGATATGTCACATGTCTATCTTCAATGATGAGTTTGCGCACAGAATCGACGTTTTCCTGGGTCACTACCGTTTTTGGTGCACCCACCATGGGATCGTCGCTAAGACCCACCCGTCCACGTGTGAATTCTCTATACCAACGGGAAATTGTAGACTGATGTGGCGCTTCGTTGCCGAAAACAGAGAGTAACTCAGCAAGGCATTCTTGTTCCGATAATTGGCTCTGAAAGTTGTAATAAATTATGGCGCGAAAATGTTCTCGGCTAAGTTCCATTTTATAATAATAAATTAATTCCTGTGGATCATTCGAAAAACCTAGGTATTATAATGGATGATGACTTAAAATTTGTTGCACACGTGAACTATCTAATTACTCAGTGCTACGCTATTCTCAGAGTTTTATTTGCAAATAAGGCTATATTACATAAATCTGCGAGAAAGCAATTGTGTGAATATTTCGTATTTTCAAAGATATCGTATTGCTAAGTGGTTTACTATCCCTATTTAGATATTATAACAAGAAATCGTATTCAAAGTATTATGAATACATGTTGCAGGCTTGTAAATGATCTCAGAAAATATGATCATATATCGAATGCCTATAATGAACTCAAATGGATGAAAATTGATAAAATTTATAAGTACCAGCTCCTAAATCTGACTCATAAGGTTCTTTATTAAAAAACACCGTCATATTTAGTAAACAAATTCATACGTAGAGGGAATATGCATCGTATTAATATTAGATATAGAGAGACTTTTTCAATTCCACGCCACAGCACGTCTCTATTTCAGAATTCATACATTTACAATGCGATCAAGTCATATAATTCTTTAGACCGCAGTTTAAAAGAAACCAATCCATTATCCCAATTCAAGAAAAAAGTGAAAGAAGTTCTTCTTGATCAGTAGCGAAATCGGTTGTAACCCATAAGTGTCCTCATATTTTCCTTATGTATTTACTTGGATTATTCGTTATTGTATACAGGTGCCTATTAATTTTTAATAAATTCTTTTTTTTTACATCTCGTATTGTTAAGGGGGTTAGGTGGTAGAATAGATATATAATCTAAATCTCGCCCCCTGTAAGAATATTACAAATAAAAGACGTTAATTATTATTATTCTTATTTTCCTAATGACTTGGTGACACTTAAAAGTTCACTGTGGTGAGAACACTGCACGTATTGTTGTGAAAATTTAAGTTTACTAAAGAGTGAGGTTAAGATTCAGTACTGACGTTCGATCCGCGCGGCCTACTATGTTTCTATATGCAAAACTTAAAAGACATCCCTCGTATATTTGATATTTGAGAACTAATCTGGAGGATCTTCAGAAGCTATGACCGTATCACTTTAAGCAACGGTCAGGAAGCTACTATCAAGAATCTCGGACTGGAGACATTCAAGTAGAGGTCTGGTACGAGGTTGAACTACGTGGCTACGAAATGAAACAACTGGTTACCGGCAGTTAAATAATACTCGGTTATTCATTCTCTTAGATAAAAAAAGAAAAGATTACTTAATAAAAGAAAGAGAAGGTTATATAGTTGAGCTATCCTGTCAGCCAAATGGGTAGTTATCAAAGATGGAATTGAACTGATACTTGTCATGGCAGCTAACTAAAATTCAAACTTCGATTCAAAATAAGCTCATCGAGTATGGAAAGAAAACTAAAGATATACATTAGAGAAGTTGTAGAAGAACAAGAGAGCGAAATAGTCTCATAATCAAAAGTATTAATGGGATTTTAACGTAACGAACTCAGAATTATGTTTCCGAAATCTAAATAGCCGTTGCCTTAAAATTTAGTGCGATCATGACCTGAATGCATTTAAGCGTCAAAGAATGGAAAACTAACGAGATACATTTCTTCGCAACTTAAGCACAGATTAAGTCGTTGCTTTTCCACTTGTATCGAGAGATCAGACAGATGGCCATTCATTCAGTGGTGTCGCATTTAAAAGGGTATCTGAACAATCAGGTCAGGAACTGTTTTTCTCCCTATTAATTTGATTAGCTACTCTATTGATCACTTCTCAATTCTACAGATGGTAGAGTCTTTAACGTTAAAGTGATAACAAGCCGAGATCCGATACCAAAAAAACCTCTTTGACTTTTACTCGACGTTTTCAATTACAGTTGCGTATTTTATTCTATTACATCTAATTTATTACATTCATACCTATATAATCGAACAAATATTAGCGTTTCTATGAGCATCTTTTTTGTTTGTGTTTATGTGCCCCCGTGTGATACTGCCAAATTATTTTTTAGAAAATACACATATGAGTTTTCATGTTGCAAGTTTAACTCATACGAGTTAGTGAAGTTCTATGAACCTTGAGCAATTCAAAAATTGGGTCAACAGATACCGTCACGGCAATCGTGGTACTTCAGGATTTAGGCTCTGCCTTCGAGAGTGCTTTAGTATGCGGAATGTCAAAAACATAATACGCATGGAAAACCAGCGGGATACTTGAACATTGTCGAAATAAACTTACGTTAGTGTCAGTGCTGTCGGATATGACTAATTGCATATTTAACATAGTTTTAGTAAAATCGGAGAACCAATTTTCAGAATATTTTGGAAAAAAATATATTTTGGCATGTATTTGTAATTGCTTTCCTTATAAAACGATCTATAAGTCAAGAATTGATGGAGGAAAAATACTTCGAATTAGTGGAGAAGCTTAATTCGGAGTATTATTCTTGGACCTGATTTGTCATGCTAAAGTTCAAGGTGTCCCAGCTTCTGTAGTGTGATTTTTAGATATATCTAAATACCTTGTCTTTAATAACCCAATTTATTTTTGGTTACAGCACGCCAATGGCAATAAAGTAATTACGATAATTGCGAGGTCAATAAGCCAGTTATCAGCAAACTTGCGTTCTCTACCCAAACAAATTTCCAGTCTCAATGTTGGAAAAGGGTATTCACTCAATCAAAGAAATCCCCTCAGCATTTCTCATGTATATAAATCACCATGGCTGTGCTATTAGCCGCACAGAAATCGATTTCGAATAATACAATCGATACAAACGGCAGTTTTGAAACCATCTAAAACCATCATGAAGTGCTTTGCGATATTCATCTGTTTGGTTGTTGTATTTGCCAGTGTGATGTCAGCTCCATTGGAGGTGCCTGAAGAGGAACTTGAACATCATGAGGAAGTCGGTGAGTGATTTTATATAAGGATTTATACCGTACTTTTCAAATAGGCTACTTTTTGAACTGCTTAAGTTAGAAAGCTGAAATTCATAGTAATGCATTTAATGCATAGATGGAAGTTTCAGGATTTGTTGACGGCGGGGTATCATATTTTCTAACAGAATGACGGGTCACGGGATACTCCATTTTCAAGCTTCACATCTAAACTTCATAGAACTTGGATATAAATTCAGTACTCTTTGAAATGGGGAACTGACAGGCTGTCAAAAATTAGTGTTTGTGTACATTGAATCGCCTATAAACCAACCCAGTCACCAAATCGCTTTAGTGTGTTATAACGATCTTCTGATCTTGGAATAATCTATCGGAAAATATAATAGAATGTGGATCGTTCCCTGAAAAATGCCAAAAGCTGTCAATTTTTTGAGACAGTGTATTCCATGCTTCATTAATCGTTCAAATAGATCGTTCCAAATGGGTGTTGATTAGCAAACTAAGGCATTTTTAAGATTGTTGTAAGTTACAAACGATTCACTGTACTAAACGTTCAACTTTCACAGTCTGTCTGTTTCCCATTTTAAAAGATAGTGTTAATTTGTTTTCAGCAGTTATACAGTACGTATGAGGAGCTTCATGATGAGTTACCACATACCCTTAATTTCATTCCAAAAAATGCTTCTAAATGGCAGCCTAAATTTCTAATTGTAATTTTCATTGGAAAGTATAGTATCCAAGTTCGAATAGTCAGTAGGGCAAACCTTTTTGAAATGCACTGTATAATTGTATAACTTTTTACATAGATATGATGTGATGACTTTTTATAAAGTCCAGTATCAGTTTCTGTATCTATTGCCAAAATTGCTATATGCTATATTAAAGCTGTGAAAATTGGTGTACATTTGTGGTTAAATAACATAATTCAAAAAATGAGTTAGGTCTATTCAAAAAATGCCAGGAAATGATAGAAATAGTTGATTTAGGAATTGTAGAGTCACAAATAGTATGAATCACAATACTCCAGTTTTCTAAACTACTTAACGTTCTTTAAGCCATTGCACCAAAATACGTTTCTGATACAAAAACAGACAACATGATCTTTTTCGGAAGTTTATGTCTCGCCAAAAGAGAATTGGTTTTGTATCCTCACAACTTTTCTGTATGACCGCTTAGGGAAAAAGTTTCATACAAAGCTTATAAGGGTCTTACTCAAGCTGTGTATACAGTGTGATTCACAAATCGTGACCAAAAATGAAACATCATACACAGGACCGTATTTCAAGAGGGGCCTTTCATATAAAAATTTTTTCTATATGGCTTTATTAAAAAGGTACGGTGTGTTTTCAAGTTTAAAAATAAAGAAATACCTTCAAAACCGTAAACTGGAATGAACTATAATTTAGTATGTGGATTTACCCAAGTATTGTCCACATTGAAAAGTGTTTACTTAAAATTAACGTGCACCAGTGGTGGAGATGCAGCAGATTAGTGGCATTATTTTGTCAAATAAAAATAGTACGCCACTGTTATTTTTTTTCGAAACGCGAAATTTTTAGAATTTTACCTTCAATTTACTACAAAAAATTATTCTTGTGTTCTTTCCATTGTTTCCGGGGGAAACGAAAAAAACAAATTAGATAATCATAAAGCTTTATTCCAATAAATGTTCAAAAAGACATCCTTTTAATAAAGAAAACCATATTTCCGCAACATTTTTTATGGCTGGAATTTGATGAAACGGATTATCTATTCTTTCTTGAAATTGATCAACGGTATTAATTTGTTCAGCATAGACTAGTTATTTAAAAGCGCCCCAAAAAAAGAAATCCAGAAATCCTTTTCTTCCAATCCATCGTGGTCTAAGGCCCGTATCGTCAGTCGTCCGTACAATTGTCGGGCGCCTTTATGGCCTCCTTGATTGTCATAGTTTTCTACTTCTCCGTGTCAGCGCTCTATTTTGAGGTTATGTCACAAACATCAATTTGCATCAAATTGTGCTTGGTTTTGAGTTATATCATGTTTTATCAGCCTGAAATTTCCTACAATTTAAAAGGAAAACAAATCTTCACAATAGGAGAGCACTGACGCTGACACGGGACAAGTGTAATCTAGAAATTTTTGAAGGAGAGAAAGGAGTGTGACAATCAAGGAGGCCATGAACGCGCCCTATAATTGTAGGGTCGACTGACGATACGGGCCTAAAGTGATTATTTAACCATGCGCTTATGTTACGATGAACATGCGGTGGGGCACCGTTGTGCTGATACCACATTCGTACTCTCGTTGCTAACGGAACATCATCTAACACATTTTCTATGTAATTCTCTAGAAAAGCTAAGTACCTATGAGTTTGCATTTAAACGTTGTGATACTTCTAGAACATCTGTGTTGAAATGAGTGGATTCTTACAGAATGGGGATTTTCTAACGACCAAATATGTTCATTATGAGAATTAAAGATTCCACTCCCCGTAAAAAGCGATTCATCTTACCACAAAACCAAATCAGTAAAATCTGAATTTTGATTAGGTATGCATTTGCAGTAACCACTAACAAAAATTTGGCCGTTGCACTTCGTCGCCGGATTGCAGACATTGCACATTTTGCAGATGGTAGGAATGTGAAGTCTTAGAAATGGGGTAGGTTGGCATTTGTTAGGAAATCTACGTTGATACTCCCGAGAAGCCGTAAAAGCATTTCCATTACAGAACCCGTACACAAAAATAATATCGGTGTACTCATCATTGCTAAATTCCATTTCACAAAGATATTAAAAAAAATCGTTTTTAAGCTTCGAATGAAGCCCTCAAGAAGAAAATGATACATTAAAATCCGGTCCTGTGTATGATGTTTCATTTTTGGTCACGACTTGTGTACCTGTATGGTCCGTAATAGCTTTCGGAAGCCTGCTCTTCCAATACGTCTTAGAATAATTCAATCAATTTGAAACCTTTATTTTATATAGATTATGTTACATATGTTGCTTTTCTTTATATATAAACAATTAAAAACAAAAATTTATAGCTTCTGTATACATTCAAAATATGTAATTCTTAGGAAAGTGGTGAAGAAATACGAGGATAATAATAACACAGGTATTAATAAGTATGATGATTTATCGATAAAAGTTCATATTAGCTGTCTTAATCAACATTAATAAATGAGAAATATATCACAGTAACACCCGATTCTGTTCAAATTAGTGCACATACCACAAAGTGACTCAAGTAGAATATTTGTTATCAACTTAGGAGGCCTAAAGATCAAATGAAATTTGCTCTATTGCAGGATTGGAGGACAATCAATTGAATTGTAGAGCAGTTTGTAGCCAAAGAGTAGTCAGGCACAGTATCTCCGTTGATTTAAAGTTGACATTTTTAATCTAATGCATAGTTCTTCATTTCTCATATATCCTGAACAAAACAAATTTTATGATTTTCCGTTGTACCTGTTCATTAGTAGTGTTATAGCATTCATATCAAAGACCTACCTTACACATAATGTCCAAAGAACATTCAATTGTAAATTTGATAATTCTTTGGATGAGTAAATATACTCCAGTTCCTTTGCAGCTTAAAAGTTACGTAAATGTATTTCAAATCACAATTTGATTCTTTTTCTTTTTTAGCTCATCTCAGGGTGCGTAGGGCAACTTGTGACATAATCGGCAGCATTTCTGTCAAAGGTGTCAAGTTAAATGACGCAGCTTGTGCTCTCCACTGCATTCAAATGGGAGGAGGAAGAACTGGAGGTTATTGTGATGGCAGAAAAGTCTGTCACTGCCGTTAATTTTAAGATATAATTTAGTGTTTCAGAAATAGTTTTATGAATAAATTATGATTAAGAGGATCTTATCATCTTTAATTTTATCGAATATCGAATGCTTCAGATGACTCACGCATTCAAAAAAATGGCGTCAAGTAGATTGACTCGATACTTCCTACGCCTTCGTTGGAGTTTTCAAAGAAACGAGATGAGCCAAATCATTTCAAATGGCGTAATGAAATCGTGATTAGGTAGGCGATCATATTTCGGTTTCCATGGCAGATATAGGGGGAAATATGTATGACTTATTATGTCTTACAGATGCATTTATGTCGGTTTGTTAGTCCGTGTCTGTTGTACATCTTTGCGTCATAAGTACTGAGCCAATGTCCTTGACGAAGTATTCAGAGAACCATCATAGACGAAGTTACACAAAATAAAGGGTAGGCGAAGTGGGTGGTACATTTAATGATCATAAAATTCAGAAAAATAAAAGCATTGCAGAATGCTAAAGTAGTACGTACTCCTGATATCCAAATATTTGCTAAAATATATAAATATTTCTCCTGAATCGGTGTGTCAGTGGCGAAACCACCACAGACCAGTTGGAGTTTTTTGTCTATTGCACAGTCGACGACGATGCAGATGATGGTAATAAGCAGAGGTAAAGCATAGCAGATGTTCAAATGTTCGTTATTTTGTAGACAAGGCCTGACTATTCTCTGTACATTGCTCACTGCAGGACTTATTCCCCTCTGTCTCAGTCTTCTAAACTCTGTTACTATGTTGAGTTTTAGGTCTGGTCTGGTATACGAAATAACTGACTATCTGGTAATTTCAAGGCCTATCTTGGAATTTCTATTTTTCTGGAATAACTAAGGCTTGGTTATGTCAACGTATGACATAGCATATATTTTTAAAATCAGAATTAAAAACTCTATTTATCTGCGTAAAAATCCAATCTGGCGTCTATGAGAAAAAGTAAACTAACGCAGGAGGACAAGAGATGCAGCGTCATATTTGAATTCTAATTATGCCATCTTGTAGAGGAGCAAAAGTGGCAGTGTTAGTAAGCAATTTATTTTAAATTCCTACCGCAAATAAAGTCAACAAAAAATTAAAATTCGGAAATTCGGTTTTTTCAGTTCCTCTCTGGAAGCACTTCGAATTTCAAAAATTTCTAAGCGGCATTATGTTTGTTACCTAAATATACAACTTTGCTCTTATTTAGGCGACTTAGCTGCGTGCAGACAAAATTTCTCTTTTTATACGTAATTATAACCTAAATTATCCGCATCCCTTAACAAGCGCCTATACCACTCGAACTTTCAACAACAACGTTTTAACTAAGTAAACTTTCATGCCCCACATAATTAATTTAACATTAAACGTTCGGAAAGTTGTATTATTCCGAATGGCAGCATTTATATTAAAGTAGATGTAATTTTTTCCACTTTGTGACAACCATAAAGCGTTAAAGCTAAAGTTCTAAACTTTTACGTTTCCATTGCAAAGCTTACGATTTAAAATGCTCTCAGAGTCGCTCGGTCGGTTAACATTTCAAGCTCTGCTTTTAAAGTGAACTTTCACCGCGCCTTGACAAGTGGATAACTCTGTGTTGTTGCTGGTAATTGTCCTTCTGTAATTTGCTTAATATTATGATGTACAAAAAATGATGCATTTCCGCTTTGATAGACCTGGTGAGTTATTTACAATATCATTCTTAGAAAAAATCGTAGAAAGTTTGGTACTATGGCAGATCTTGGCACATGGTTCACATGGGGCACAGTTTGAGATACACTAAAATGAGTGTACCTGCTGTAACACAATTTAATTATATTTATTGAATTTGCTTAAATAGTGTTTGTCTAGTAAAAACTAAATACAGACACAGAGAGCTTCATTTGGAGCGAGAATCATTCTAATCATGGTTATGGATCACTATATGTCTTATGCTTGAATGTTTCACTTGATGATCATAATTGAGCCACTTTACAAATACTACACCAACAACAGCAACATTCAAATACAAGCTCGTCACTAAAATCGCAGATAATGCTGAGGAGTTCAAAGCGCGTCACCAGTACTACTGTTTTCACACGCTTCCGACCATTCCCAAATCGAGTACTGCAACGAAGACTACTATAGTAACTCAAAAATGTTTGCTTTTGACTTACTATATGGTATCGATAGACTTTATCGGGTTCTCTTTGGTGGGAGAGTATGGTAACTCAGTCATGCAAGTATAGGCAACCAGTAAATCTTGTACGTCATATAGTAAGTATAATAGTGGTGGTTGCTCCCGCAAAAACTACGTCAAAATGAGTTTTCGATGCAAAAAAATCACGGAAAACCTAACTTACTGTTAGACCTACTGTGTGACGTACTGATTTTCTCGGCATAGTATGAGGTTACGGTAATTAATAGCGAAAACGTTTCAAGTAGTAGCTGTATGAGAAGAGCAGTTTTCAAAGCGAACTAAAATGAATTCAAGAACCAAAATAATTATGGCAGATGCAAAGAAGCTAAGTGCAATTGCTGAACCGTTAAATTTATGTATGTTTGGTTCACAAAATGGTGATGAATCCTTTTTACACAAGAAAAAGATTCAAACATAGAATCATCTTCTGCAGGTTATGCATTGGGATCTGTCGCATCACAGTATGATTCCCTCATGCCTGTGAAATACAAAATTTTAACAGATAAGTCAACTACTACAGTCCTCGATTTTACTAAGACGACACTCACGTGTTTGCTTTTCATTCTTTCATCAAGTCTGGATGGACCTGATACAGACCTATATTACAGACCTATACGATACTGATAAGGGCCAAAGAGCCCTGTCTGCGGTTGGTAGTGGGTGCATTAGTTTTAAATAAAAGGTAAAATCGGAAAATTGGAACAAATACGATTGTGGGGAAAAGTTGAAAATGAATAAGATAAGTGCCTCGTGAAACGAAATATAAGTGTGACTATATTGATGATATCACGATAGTAACATTGATCATTTATCAGAGAATGGGAGTGCAAAACAATACGCTTCAGGAACTACGTATCTTTGTTGTACACAAGCTTGCTTCCAGTAGGTTCTAGAAAATTAAATGACTTATTAGATCTATGTAAATCAAAATCAAACGGTCTTTCTATCATTCCCGAGGCTTACCTGTTTTTGAATTTTTCTCTAAAAGCCAAGGAAGATAAAAAAATACACTAATATTAACAGTGCTAAAAATACAGAAGTTGAGAGCGATGATAGTGGAGAACACGAAAATAAATATAATTTGAGTGACTCAGATTTGCATTAAAGAAAACTGTACTAAGTCAACATAATTTATAAAAAAAATGTCATTTTCGCTAGATTTGTATTGTAAAACTGAGTTACAACAGTCTTCCTTGCAGGAGTCGAAATGAAGTTCAAGTCCTTCCGAGTACGTGATTCAAATAAGCAGTTTATTAAATGTTGTCTTAAATCTATCTTTCCTAGGCTTACTAAACAATTTGCTGAAACAGGTACATGGTATGACAAGTTCAAGTATATTACTTTAGGAGTATATTACTTTCAACTAAACTGATTCCAAAAAATTCAATTTACTTAAGCCGAAATCTTTACAGTGAATGAAAATTTTCCAGAAAAACTGTTTAATTGACCACGTGTTTTCAGTGCAGGTAATCTAGGACATCCTGTACAACGAAAGCTTCTATTTTGCTTCTAGGTCGATGAACCAATCGCGTGCCAGGAGTGTATTCTACAGATTAGTCATGGGAAATGGTGTGCATGGAATCTAAATATGAACCTGAATGAACATCATAAAGGGCGTCTCATAGAAACGATCCAATATCCCTTTACAGTGAGTTTTAGGTATTTGTTTACTAATTACGATGCGAATGTTCAAAGGCAGATCTTTCCTTTTACTCAACAAACAATACCTACGTAAGGATTGTGGGGTATGACAGGGCACAGCGCGCTTTGAGGAAGGACAAAGGCATTACCGGAAGGCATACAGGGAAATACTAACGATTTAAATAGGTCAGAAACCAACCCTATGTGGTTAGAAGGCAGCATTTTTCGCCAAAATCACGTAGACGTAGTGCACACCGTCAGGTAGAATTGTCTAACGGTGACAAACCAATAAATCTTCTTTGAAGAGAATATTCAAGTAGCCATTTTTGGCAATGAGAAAGTTTCATATCTTATGAAACTCAGTCAAAAATGACAGTATACGTAATGTAAAGTACAGCACTGAAAAAATGTTTTGAATATCTTAAAAATGACAAAATTACTCTACCTAGAAGTTTCTTATTTGGAGAATATTCTTGTTGGAGCGTGAGACTGAATAATGACGTCACATGACACCAGCTCCGTATTTACGATTTACGTTAAGATTGGGTAAAAAATGCGTCATGCTTTCGACTTACAAATTCTGTATTGTATCTAGGAGTACAAACATGACAGACATATCAGCTCCAGAAAATCATGGTTGCCTTTGTCAAACCATAAAGGAAAGTCGTACAGGGTCATACACAGGTACGACAACAGTATGTAATTGACATTTTTTCCTTAATTAGTGAATTCAGAAAGAGCTTCAAAAAAGCCCATTAGAGCCCTATCTATTTCGAATAGTAGTATGTTTATCAGACACACAATTAAGGAACAACGTATGTCTCAAAAGTCTTGGCACAAATTATTAATCGATGTTTTTAAATGAAGAAATTTATTTTAACACAAACTAGTTATCATAAATTACAACTCAATACTTAACTAAGCTATACTATCGAATTATGCGGAGTGGCCCATTCTTCTCTACCAGACGCAACTTTCTTCGAATGTCTCTCATGAGGTCCTGGAGGGTAATCAGATCAATTTTTCGGAACAAAAGGATGTTGTGGGTATCTCTGGAGTAATGGTAAGATGTTAGGTCTGGCCAAAACATGATATGTACACTATCATGATGTTCGTGGACAAACCGAAGCAATTTGTAAAGGTAGTTATCAATATATAGTGGATACCAAATAAAATCCGATGCACGTCATAGGTGATGTCATTCATAAAAATCATGGTTACCAACAGTTGACTACATTCAATG